CTGTGAAGGGACAAGGTTTTAGTCACTTCTTGGCCATAGCCAGCTACCCAGAGGGAGCAAGTAGTTGGACCTGTGGGCTTGGGACCATGGTCACAGGGGACATCAAGCTCAATTGGCACAACATACTACACAGAAACATTGTTCCACATCCTACTTTGGCAAGTAGAGACTGAGATCATAAAAGATGGCAAGCGGCCATCTGGATGTAATGATGGGTCTCTCCTTGCCCAGAGCAAAGAAGAATGAAGAAAACTAAAGACTCATGGAAACAGTTAGTCCAAGGGACTGGTATACCATGCAATCCTCAGCCTGTATAACTATGAGACCAGAAGATGGTGCCCAGCTACCACTGTCAACCGTTCAAAGGGGGACCTATGTAGAAGATCCTGGATAGAGTGGGAGAACAATGTGGAACAAAACTCAAAATCATTAAAAAAAAAAAAAAAGACCAGGTTTGCTGGTCTGACAGATCCTGGTGAAACCCCTGAGACTATGGCCCCTAGCTGCCTTTCAGGTCTGGAATTGAATCCAATCCTGTAGCTTCCAGCCAGACAAAACACAGACATATGAGCAGAACATTTACATTAGGTAGATACACTCCTTGGAGAGATCAATCATGGGAGAATAGAAGGGCTGTGTATGCACAGGGAGACAGACAGCTCAGGGGGCAGAAGTGCATGGGAGGGATGGACACAGGGAAGAGGTAACTATAGGGAGGAAGTAGGAAGAGAGCTATTGCATTGTGGGAAATTACAGTCAATGTCATGAGACAAAGTGTATGTGAATGGCTGTAAGGAAAATGAATTTGCTTTGTAAACTTTCAACCAAATGAAAATAAAAATTTTAAAAAAGCACAAATGGGGGCTTTAACAAACAGGGATTTATTCTCTTATGGTTTAGGAGGCTAGAAAATCTGAGTTCAGAGTGCCAGCTGTAGGGGCTGGTTGAAGGCCCCTCGACCTTGAGCTTCGGCTCTGCCTTTTGCTCCTGGCTCACTGGAGCCAGAGACTTCTCTTAACTCAGGCAGCTTCTGGCTGCTGAGGCTGACAAACCCAAGGTCCACAAGTGAAATGGCACAGTCCCACAATTATCAAACAACATGGCAGGCCACTAGTTCAAGTCCAGAAACAGTCCCAAGATCAGTAGGCAGATGGCAAGTTACTGGATGAAGATTCAACTACATGCAGGATCCAAGCATGCCAAAAAGCTTGAGACCTTTCTCAAAGCTTCTTATGTAGTAGAAGCAGACCATATTCCTAAGGCAGCTACTCATCTGCTCACAGTAGATTTCACCGTGGAGTTGATTATCAGTCTCATCATGGAGCATAACTACATGAAGCTCCCCAGCCACTGAGAACCCAGGCCCAGCGCAGTTGACACATAACCTTAACTACCACACTATGGTACATACACACGACGTATTATGCAACATTAATGAATAATGAAGAATCAGCAAATCACCTCATAACATGGATGAACACAGAGGACATTATGCTGAGTGAAGGACAAATATTATGAGTTCATTAAAAAAAGTCAAGAAAAACTTTACACAGGGAAAGAAATTTTCTTTGTTGGTTACCAAAGATGGGAGGGGAGGGGAAATGGGGGGGGGAAGAAAGAAAGAGAGCGAGAGTGAGAGAGAGCAAGAGGCTGAGGTACAACGTAACTTATCTCACTTATACACTATGGTCATGTTGGTTCTTATTTACAAAAAAGAGTACACTTCTGATGAAAAACCCTGGAACTTAAAATATGACCCTTATCATCATCTTGGATGTAAATTGGACATCTCAGTAACAACCAAAACAAATCGGAAACTGAATTTTGGCCTCAGGCTGCCTGTGTGTTACTGTAGTCTCTTGTTAATCACTTGCTGTCGAGCTGACATCAATTCAAGGTGACCCCATGTGTGTCAGAGCAGAACTGTGCTTGATAGAGTCTCCAGTGGCTGACTTTTTAGAACGAAATCACCAGGCTTTACCTCTACAGTGCCTCTGGGTGGATTCAAAACTCCAAACTTTTGGTTAGCCACCCAAGTGTGTAAACTGTTTGCATCACCCAGGAACTCCAGATCCTGCACAGGATTTCCAGATACACATGCTTAGGAACATGTAAAATTTTCATGCTGAGTGCCTTGAGCAGACTAAGATATAAATGGAGGAATCTACAAAACCTGTGAAGAGAAAAAAACTATCGAATGAAGTAGTAAGACTATGGGGATGGAAGAAGGAAAGAAAAGAGACTAAACTGGTTCATCTGAGATGAAGAGACAGGGATCTGCCTCGGAGAGTAGTATAGTAGTTAGGAGTATGAACTGTGCAGCCACACTGCCTGAATTTCAGTCCAGACTTGCTGTTTACTAGCTGTGTGACCCTAGCAACATGCCTCTATCTCCCTTTTCCTCAGATTTCTCCTTTGTAATTGAAGACTATAATGCTGTGTATTTTACTGGGCTGTAGGGGTTAATACATTTAATTAGAACAGAATCTGCAACAAAATAATGACTCATTGTCAGTCACCAGTGCTTATTTCTGTATTTTTCAGTACAGTAGCACAGGCCACTGGCTGTCCAGCACTTGAAATGTGGCTAATCTGCACTGAGATGTGAAATGTGGTTTAAGCATAAAGTAGACACAACATCTCAAAGACAGTATAAAACAAAAATACAAAGTATTCATTAATAAGTTTTATAATGTATCCTTGTTGAAATGATAATATTTTGGATATATTGATTTAGATATAATGTTAAAACTTTTACTGTTTATAGTTACTTTTTAATGTAGCTACTCCATATGCAACTTCCTTATGTTTCTGTTGGTCAGTGCT